CGGGTGCAGGGGGACCGTCTGGGGGGGGAGAGAGGGAGGGAGCGGGTGGGAGAGAGAGAGAGGGGGGCGGCCATGGCTACAGCAGGGGCGCTGCCACGCGTCCCCTCCCACTGCGCCGCCTCCTGCCGCCTGCTGCGAGGGCTCCGCTCCTTTCGGCGGGGAGGGAAGGAAGAGGACTGCCCTGCAGGGTGCTCTGGTTCTCCGCGCCGCCGCCCCCTACAGGGCGGCCGGAGCAGAACAAAAAAAAAAAAGGCGGCCGTGCCGCCCTAGGATTGGGCAGAATGCCGCCTTGAACAATCTGCTGCCCCAAGCACCAGCTTGCTCAGCTGGTGCCTGGAGCCGGCCCTGATTATAAGGAGGCTTGGTAGAATTAAATTTTTATATACTTTTGAGGAATAATACCAATGTTTATTTTTAAGCATTTTTTCCTGTTTTTATCTATGTACATTTTCACAGTTGTGGAAAATCATTGGGGAGCTCAGACAATATTTTAAGGATAGTAGATGTTGAGATTCAAATCGTTAAAGCACTATAATTGTTAAAACACAATCTGCCAACATCAGATTTCAAAATAAACAAAGTTCCTTAAATCATACTCTAAGTTCTCAAGCAGCATTTTTCTCACTTTGACTTTCTTTATGGAAGATATTGTTGGAAATATTTTTGTCTGTTTGTGTGTGTGTGTGTGGTGAAACTGATGCTTAGTGACATTTACCAATAAAAATTGAATCCTTTTAAGTCTAATGATAAGTGTTTGTATAGTGTCTAGCACAATGGGGTGGGTAGGCAGTGCTATCAAACAAATAATTATTAGTATTTTTTTTATAATTTATTAGCCATAAACAACATTTTGTATGGAAAAGTAAGAAACACAGAGTGGATCAATGTTCTTTATCTCATTTCATCTTTGTTTTTATTTGACTTTCTTTATTTCAATATAAATAGTAAAACCACTAGTTGATTTTTTTTTTAAGGATGGCATATCTGACTCATTATATAGCTTAGGTGTTTCCTAGAGAGAAGATACACTTTGGCTACTGCAAATTATTCATTCTTTTTTCAGGCTTTCATTTATTGATCAGTAGCTTAACATTTATCAGCTGTAACATTGCCACTTTGTGGAGTGACATATTAGAGTTCAAACTAAAGCACCAAGTGATTTTTTTGTTAGTTTACACTTATAAGACACTGATCTCTGCTGGATAATTATTTACCTTTGCATCTGCTTTGGAGAACCAGGGTATGGCACTCTGGCATTCACCCTTACCCACAGCTGCTGAACAAAAGTAATGATACAAAAAGTGCCATGATCACATCTTTTGTATATCAGAGCGGAGAATTTGATGGTGAATGGGAGTTTCCTTCTCTCATTGTACCATCAGTGGCTTGAAAGTCAGATAGATTTCACAAATGTCTCCTCTTCCATTACTGAATGAAGGATGATAATGGCCAATGACGTCAATGGGCCTTCTTAAGCACATGCTAAAAATTAAGCATATTTGTAGGTGCTTTGCTGAATAAGAATAAGAGTAGAGCTGGATGACAAATTTTAAATTTAAAAACATAGTCAAAATTTGCAAAACAAATCTGGGAGAACTTTTCCAAATTTTCATCCATCTCTAGATGAGATTAAGGATGTATGTGTGTTTCCTTTATACCGTCTATTTTTAATGAAGTACTGTACATAAATGTATTGGCTCCCTCTTGTAAAAAAAAAACAATTTTTTAATGGTAAAGTTCTTTTGCAGATCATATTTCTGGCTTGCAATGATACATAGCTTCAGAGTTAGTTTACAGGGTAATCCCTACTTAATGTTGTTCTTCCTGCACTATGCAGAAAAATAGGCTAACAACTATTATGAAACAATTAGGGTGAAATTCACCCCTTGCATGGAGGCCGAGTAGAAGGCCCATGCACCACTTAAGTTCCACTTAAGCCCTCAGGGACTCAAGGCAGAAAAATCCTTAATAAAGTTCCCACAACCAAATATGGAAGGGGAGACTTTTCCATGGCTTAGTAGCATAAAGAGAAAAGCCCATCAGTAATGTGTAATAAAATAACAGGGATTGTTGCACTGAGCAAAACATAAGAAACTGCCAGTTATTGGCTCTTGCTTTTATTTATAATTATATTTTACCTAAGCAGAGTTGTCTGTCAAGTTTTATTTCAATTCAGTAAGATATCACCCTACCATGAGTGCAAAATTTTCTAAAATGGAATCAAAGAATGACGTTCAAAGTCAAAATTCAGATATCTCACCAAGTCTAAATAATGACTTGGCAACTGTATAATATGTTATATAATGGCAAAAATCCTGCTATCTTTGTTTGGTATGGACCTCTTCTTCCACAGAAAGCTAGACTTGTAGGGCAGATTAATAAGGTTCAGTAGGTGAGCCTGTAAAAGTATACCTGCAGCAGCCCACAACTAAGCATGTATATGCCTAGAAACTGTGATGCTTTTTTAGTACAGCCAGAAGACAAGCATTTTTGCAGGCACAACTGGAGCTGTCTTCAAAAATTTGTTAGAATTTTGCCACTTTTACTGCTGTGCTGAGCAATGAAGGTGAAAGTGAGTGGGTGAAAATATGCATGTTATACTACACTAAACATGTTATACTGATTGATTTATACAAAATAACAGATATTTCCACTAGACCTGTTGCCTCAAATGCATTCTGTAGAGGTTTATTTTAGATCTTATCCTGTAGAAATAACATTGGGTCTAGGCTATGGTTTCTCAGCCCATGCATTGGGATCCAAAATTGGGTCACAAGAATGTTTCAAAGAGTCACATGGCAGCTTCTCTGGCTTCTGTCCCACAGGGCTGGCTGGGCTCGCCTCCCTCCTCCAGGCACAGCAACTTTAGAGGTCCCAGCACTACTCAGATTTGGCCAAGCCGTCATGATGATAGGAGCCTGGGTAGGCCAAATTTGAGTGAGTAGCCCTGCAACCCCCTGAGCCAGGTCACAACTCGACTCACACAAATTTAGTCCAGTCATGGGGGCAGGGCCAATCTGAGTGGCATGGCAACCCTGGAGGTTGCAACACCCAGAACAGAGAGCCAAGGCCAGGCAGCCCCACAGCACAGGAGTTGCCACTATAGGGTGAGTGTCGGGCAGGACTCAACCGAAACCACCCCAGAGCTTCCACCCTCAGGCTATTTACTGGGTCATCACAGGCCATAAACATTTATAAAGAGGTCCTGAGCCCAAAAAGGTTAAGAACCACTGTTGTAAGTGACTGTCACCTTTACCTACCAGAGAAATAAATGCATTCTGGAGACACTTTCTAGTAAAGTAATAATTAGGTTGTACTTTTAGACTCCAACTTTCTTTTGGACAGGGACTATTATTTGCTCTATGTTTCGTAGAGTATCTAGCCGATCATGGCCCCAATAAGATTTTCCTCTCTCCTTTTCAATGGTCTGCCTTCATCTTAGACATTATTTATTTATTTATTTTGCTTAGTTTTGTTTTTATAAGTGAAATTACATTATTTCCTGTTTTCATCTTTAATGCTGTGACAGACAAGGATTTCATTCCGTTTTCTCTCTTTGTCTCCTAGGAAACTGATCTCATGACCTTTAACATTTCAATGCACCGTTCCTGGTGGCGAGAGCATGGGCCAGGCTGCATACGGAGAGTGGTGCACCCTTCAGCCCCTGGGATCCTAGACGATTACTCCTATGTCTCTGTGACGGGCTGCATCATTGACTTCCAGTATCTCGAGGTCATTCACAGCGCCATCCAAATATTACTGTCTGTAAGTTTCTATTTTCAGTTACCATCAGATTTTACCACTCCTATACTCTTCTTTATTATGCAGGTCACATGCTATTATTTCTGTTTACTGAGTGGATGGTTTCAGTAACTGACCAATAACAGTACAGATTTTAAATTGCATAGCTGAGTATAAAACTTGCCATTTGAAATGTACACTGATCTCATATCCTCATATTTCATAACAGCCCTACATTGGGAACATGAGTGGTTCATAGCCCTAATGCTGGCCCTTTGTATGGAAGTGAATTTCATCCATAGCAATTAATGCTCACTCATTAGAACATGTGCAGAAAGGCAACACTTCATCCAGGTCTGAATATAAATCTATTTTAGATAGTAAATAGCTTCCTAATGCAAACAAAGAACAACTGAAAAAGGTTAGGGAAATTGTAGTAATTAGAGTACTATTATATCTTTTTTTTTTATGACATTCTGTATCCTTCTGTGAGAATGGGGGTATCCAAAAATTTTACCTTGGTGGGCCACTTACTGCAGTTACTATATAATTACCGTACCAGCCTGAAACTGCACACCATTTAATATAATATTATTGTGCCATCAAGAGAAGCCTATTGTCTATTAGATACTGCAGATTGTTCTGCTACTGGACTCTGAACATTTGCACTACTGAAACTAAAAGGGCCATTGGGGGAACAGAGAGAACGGGACCTAATTTCTCAGGAGCAGTAGAATAGATTTTGTTTATTTAGTTGAAAATTGCCCGCAAAATATAATAATCATAGTATTGTACAAGATCTTGGTATGTATGTGTAGGAGGGTGTTGAAGTGGACAGCAATAGGTTACAGCTACTGAGCAAAAAAGAGAGATGATCCTGTGAAATTGTTTATGGCAAAGTAGAATTAAAATGCCATATTTAAGAAAGAAAGAAAGAAAACATTTTTTTTTCTGGCAGCTAGTTCTACAAGTGGAATGTGCCTTTCTGGAGCTTGCAATATGGTTAAATTTCATAACAATTTTATGTAGCAATAGTAGTGCAACAAACCTTTTTATAATGTAACAAAAATTTTATTGGCACAACAAATCATTTCATGATGCTAACTCTGGGTGCAAATAAACGGGAAGGTAAACACTTTTATTTGATAGGGAGTTAGATTATCTGTAACATGAAATCCCTCAAGGGGTAAATACTGCATATCAGTCCAGGTAGATATTTCTGCTTTTCAATAGATCTCTGCTTTTCAAAGGTTCCTTTTACTTAAATATTTTAACTTGTATATAAAAAGGAACAGTTTTATATGCACAAGATAGTGCATCTATGACCATATTAGACCCTGCTTACCTCATTCCTTTACCTCTAATGCAGTGCAATCACCTGTGATGCTTGCTGTATATGCATTAGAGTAGTCATCATTAAAGAGTCATCTTCTGCAAACAGTTACTAGGCCAGAGTAATTTAAGGTCTGAACCTGATGCTGAACATTCATTGATATCAATGGGAATTGCAAGTACTCAGCATCTCTCAGGATTAGGCTCTTTTTCCTATACTAACTAGAGAAATCCAATCATATTTTAGAGTAGTATGGTAACTGCTGTAAAGGATGACTTTTAAAAGGGAACCTTGGTAGCATTACACAACAATACATTATTCTATGTACAGTGCATGGTAAATTTCCTATTGATGAACACATCCTTATACACAGTGCCTTTAATTTTTAAAAAGTGAGGCATGTTCTCTGTGCTGAGTGCTGGATTTTGCAGGGAACAAATGCTGGTTGCGTAAGTGGCAGCAGCTTTAAGCACGTCTGTGGCCCATAAACTCTTTTTTGGGGGCTATTTGGAGATAGATGTTCTTACACAAAACTGGAAATGCTAAATGGGGAGTGGGAACTGGCTTTCATAAGACAATCTCTGAAGTCCATAGAAAGTCTTCCATTGACCTCAGTGGGCTCTGGATTAGACTCAGAATGAGCCATTTTATATGGACATTAGGAAAAACTTTAGGTTTAGGTTGGACATTAGGAAAAACTTCCTAACTGTCAGAGTGGTTAAGCACTGGAATAAATTGCCAAGGGAGGTTGTGGAATCTCCATCATTGGGGATTTTTAAGAACAGGTTGGACAAACACCTGTCAGGGATGGTCTAGATAATACTTAGCCCTGCCATTAGTTCAGGGGACTGGACTAGATGACCTCTCAAGGTCCCTTCCAGTTCTATGATTCTATGATATATGTATATACACCAATCTAATGTTTAAAAATGTTTCCTTATGGTTCTAATCTCCTCTCTTCTTGACATGAAGGAGAAGGCAATATTTTTACATGACACCCAGTGGTAGCAGTGAAATTTTCTGACCACACAATGTCAAGTAATCAATGTTGGACTGACCTCATGGATTGTTATTCTTGTTAATATCACTTCTGGACGAGAGCTACTTCCAGTAAAAAATGAAATTTGAGATAACAGTGCATATTAATTCACAAGTTTTCTATGTAGGTTCTTATATCATGCTCATCACTGTAGTATCTGAGCTTCTTCCAGCAGTGCATTAAGTGATGTGACTAATACCTGATGCATAGTTTGTTCTCTCATTCTCCCCTCCCTGCGGGGGAGGGTATTGTATATGCAGTAGAATGTTTTCCTTTTGCTACTGGTTCTTGTTGTCTTTTTGTTTTTGTTTTGTTTTTTAATGTACACACTGCTTTGTCTTAATAATAGAGAAGATAAGGGCAAAGACATGTGCCTTGCGTGTGGAGTGGAAGTTAATGACGTTTGTGAATGTCCTTAGATCCTGGGGAAGATCATTCCACAGTATCTAATCAATGCTCCAAGTTCTCTGGTCACCACACAGACAAGCTTTACCTTTATCGTAGTGGCGTAGAGTTGGGATGCTCAATGTGACGATGCCTAAGTACCTTTATGAATCTAGACCATAGCTCCCATTCAGATGAAAACTGCAGCGCCTGTGAATCATGCTGAATCTATACTCAAGGATGTTTCCAGCCCATATATTATTTTGTAAAAAAATACATTGCAATAAACTTCTTGTTGCCCTCCTGATTATTAAAGTCACTTAATTTTTTAGTCCGATTTACACATTTAAACAAAGACAGACAATCTTAAAATAGAATTAAATCCTGAAACGTTAATTCTTGGCACTCTTAAATCCAAACACAGGGTTCTTCAAAAGCACTCTTAGAATATGTCTACAGAGTAGCTGATGGTGTGATTCTCAGCACAGGTGGATGTACCTGTGTTGGCGCTGCAGCAGCACAGGGAGGAGCTCTGACCAGTCACCCGAGTACAGTCCCATCTGAACCCCTGGGTACGTACTCAGCTGGCTAGTCTCAGCAGCTGTTTGTGTGGCCCCAGCCACAGCCACTTGGCTATTTTTTAAGTGTTAGCTTGATTAGAGGTAGCAAGTGTCCAGTGCTTGAATTACCAGGTGGGGTTGGTGGGACCGAGCCCCTTTACTACACGTTTAGAGGCTACCTCATATCTGTTTTATGGCCCCCTTACTTCTCAATACTACTTAAATTAAAGTAAGGCACTTGATATTCAGACACCCCCCCACACACTTTTTCCCCATAATTTGAGCACTGTATGTGTGTCTGTCTACCTGGCCTGAGAATCACACCTCCCAGCTGCTGTGTAACTCTCAAGGTATGTCTACACTGCACTGGGGGAGGTGTGGTTGCAGCATAGGTAGACATACCCAAACTAGATCAAAGCTAGATCGAGTAACAATAGCAGTGAAGCCTCAGCAGCCTGAGTAGTATGAACTCAAGGTCCTGGGTGGGTGGGGCTAGCCCATGTAGCCACCCATGCTGCAGCTTCGCTGCTACTGTTACTCAAGTCAGCTTGGACTTGGCTAAATCCATGCTAGCTTGGGTATATCTACACATGCTGCAATCACACCTCCCAACTGCGGCGTAGACACACCCTGAATTAAACAGTTCTGCTCTCCTGAAGTCAATGAGAGTTATACCACTGACTTCAATGGGAGCAGGGCTAGCCCAGTGCAGAATGCTTTGGAAAATCCTACCTTTACCGTTCATAGACATGTCATCCAAGCACCTGCAGAGTCTAACAATTTTCATTAACTACTTAACTGAATATTTCAATGTTTTGTTGGTTCATCCATGAACATGCAATCATCTCTCTCAGAAAGATAATCATTTCCTCTTGTTTTATCACACAGCTATCTGCTCTCATGGCCATTTTTCTTCTGAATGTACCAAATGTCACTTCCATAAGAAAATGATAAACAACATGATCTGATTACATTAGTTCTGGAAATCTGTTGCTTCTCTCCCTCATCAGTACATCATGGTAACCCAATGCAATTGCCTTACTTTATTAATTATTTCTGTCTTGCTGCTTTCAGAGAATTTGTCAAACATTGATTATTTAATATTACAGTGAATTATGACATTTGGTGGATTTAAATACTATTTCATCAGAGAAATGGAATTTAATTAGAAACCATATTCTGCACAACAGCCATTATAATGGAGGATCCGAGATTCATGTAAATAATTAATCAAAACAAACATGATTGTCAAGTTACAGCAAGAGATTAAAAGCAAGACAATAAATGATACTGGAAAAATAGTTGCTTAATGAAGTTCAGATTGTTGACATGGTCATCATCCTGAGCCATAGATTCAAATACATTTGAGGTTAATTTGAGTGGCTTTTCATGAGTGCCATGCATCAAGAATTCTCTTCTACACTCCATGTTAAAAGCTCCAGAATTTTTTTGTCAACAGGGTTATAAAGAAATCTTTTCTCCTTCTCTTTAGACAAGCTAGAGCTGCTGGAATGATTATTGCAGCCCAGTTATCAGTTAGATATAACAAAAGTGCTAATGATATCAGTATATAATGTGATTCCTCTGAGGAACTGCAGCAGTCCCTCTTATTCCCATTAGTTATAGCCCTGGTATTTTTATAATTGGTATAGGAAAAGATGGTAGGAAGCACATCATTTACACTGTTCTCAAAAGAAAATCCCTTTAG